GTCTCTGTTAGAATAATCCAAAATGTCTTCACGCCTCTCCCTCCCACTTTCCTTCACACATTCACACAGGGCAAAAGCACACACCCACACACATGGGGGATAAATGGGCGTTCTCTGTACAGTGTGGCGGCCGGCAGTCTTGTGCTGATGATGACTGCTGGAATCTGTGCGGGTGCCAGAGCAGGCATGGCCGCCCACGGGCATCCAGAGACGGCCCAAAGCCACAGGAACCACCAGCAGCCCTCGCCACCGCTCTCCTCCCTCCTTTCATCCCTCCCTCCCTCCCCTTTTGAGTGGTACTACCAACACTGCTTCACAATCCTGACTACACGAGATGAAGCTGCCAGTGTGTGGCTACTTCAAACGCTCGCATTAGAGTCAAACATTCCTCTTTGCCTTGAGCCAATAGCTTTTATCTTAGGTCTGCTTGTCTGTAGTGTATCGTGGGATAGTTAGCACGGGCTTACATCAAAAGTAGGTCATGAAAAAAACGAATTGATGTTGTACACTTTTAATCCAAATGCATTTGACCTTTTATTTATTTTTGTGCAGGACAATATATGAGCGTCAGTTGTCAAACTGATCTTGTGATTTTCTTTCTTCCCAGGCCGCTATTTCGAGGAAACTCAGATGTTGATCAGCTGGGAAAGATTTTTGAGTAAGTATTATTGGCTGTGCTTCCTGTTACAGTCTCCCTGATCCTGTATGTTTCAAACTGATTGAACAGACTTTATAAAAAGAAAGATATTTCACAATTATAGGTCAATCAAAAGTCATTCAAGGAACTTAATCAGGGTACTCCTTTTTTAATTTGGCTTTTATCAAACCTATTATCCTGCCAATAGGAACAGGATGTCCATACAACTGATTTTCTGTAATTAATTCAAAGCCCCCCAGATTAGGTTACGCTGCTCATTTATGTTAATATCGTTAGCACCACTTCGCACCCTTCCAGTTTCTTCAGTAAACCTAACAATATATTTAAAAATAGTCGAGCACGAGAGGCGTTGAATGCTGAACATTGCTGACAAAGAGTCACTAATGTCCATTATCATCCCACAGTGTTGTTGGGGTCCCTTCAGTAGAGGACTGGCCCCAGGAAGTGGCCCTACCACAGAGTGCCTTCACCCCCCGGCCCCCAAAGCAATTGGAGGACTTGGTTCCAGATATGGACGAGCAAGGGCAGGCCCTCTTGATGGTGAGTAGTACGAGATGCAGTACTTTTAGCAATTTACAATATTATTTAAACTTTATTTAATGGTTGATCTCCTTCTCTTTTATTTCTCCTCGCTCTTTGCAGCAATTCCTCGCCTTCAACCCCTCCAGGAGGATATCAGCGTTTGCTGCGCTCAGCCACCCCTACTTCCAAAGTGTCGACAGCCACAGTAGGAGTGTGTACGCAGCTCAGCCCATCCCCCCCAACAAGCCCACTATGGAGGAGCGGACTGCCTGATGGTCCTCCTTCACTCTTATCATCCCATACAGTGTCTATAAAAAGTATTTTGCAAACTCTGCCTTGGAGTTCATTCATGTTTCTATTTTTACAGCATTAAATCATAGTGTGTTGATTTAAGCTTTTTTGACACTGATTAACATTTAGGAGTATGCTGTATAAGCGAAACAAATGTACAAAATGGAGGTCATTTTGGTACAAATAGATTACATAAAGTGATTGATACAGAGGCATGTAGATGCACCTTCTGCATTTATAGCCTTGAGTCTATCTGACCTTGAGGACTTTTGCAAAAAATATTTAACCAGTCAGGGTAAAAATAGTAGCTTTATAGTTCTGCAGCGAATTCTGTCTGGATTGTGATTTAGCCACTTGGGTGAAGTCCTTCTAGAGATCTTTGCTGATTTTAAAGGTTATGTTTTTTAGGTTGCTGTCCTGCTACAACAATTGCAATTGCTACAACATGGAATTACAAACACCAGGCTTTGCATTGCATTTTGTTAGTTAGTCATATAGCTAGATTTTGGTGACATCCCACCATAGTCTTCTTTTACTTCTACATGTCTTGGGGCAAATGAAGGTGGAAATGTCATATCATTTCTCAACAGTGGCCTTCTCTTTGCCAGTTGACCATAAAGCTAGAAAAGCACTAAGGTGGCAGTTGCCAAAGGCGTAAAATCGGAGTATGAACTGATCTAGACAGATTTGTACTACATATTCAAGTGCCTTCATATTTCACATATTTCCTTCCATTGATTAGTTGTTTCAATAAACTTGCTTTTGTAGTATGCCACTTGTTGGGCCATGCAAATACAGACATTTTGTTATGACAATCTGTGTCAAAAAAGCTTAACTATGATTTTGTGTTGTACAAAACAAAACATGAACCTTTTCAGGGGGCAAATATTTTTATTTTTTTTAAAACTCAATATACAAAGCTGTAGTATTCCTACAGAGAGTGTAAAGAAAATGACACCAATACTCTCACCATTGAAAGAAAATGCACAAAAGCTATCCTCCTTCCATGAACTGATGGATTGTAATTGCTGCTTTTAGGTTATTAAATGTTGATAACTGTGTTGACAATGCAAAGACTTGCATGTCAGATGTACTGGTAGATGGAGGCCATGAAGTGGAGGCCTTATTATGACCAGTGTTCAATAAGCCCTCTTGACTGGGGGACCGGACCACAGAGGAGTTATGGTGGACAACATGACTCTCACCTGCCTTTACCATTAACTGTGTGTATGTGCGTTGAGCAGATACACAGTACACTCACAGATACATACACAACATTTAGTGTGTGCACTACCACTGACGTTAGCACACTCATGTACACAGATCCCTATAGCAACATTATTGGGCATCACAAGCCAGCCACTCACTGCCAAGTCGTGTCCATAGACTGTATACAATAGGTTATCTTATCATTCCAGTCCTACATGTATTATAATACTGCAACCTTGAGGATGTCCTTGGTAACTGCAGACCAGTAGCGGGATTCTAATGGTTTCTGCACTCTTCAAGGAGCTCATCGTAATGGGCTGATATCAGTGCTGAGACAATGATGAAAAAAAACCTAATATACACGCTCCTGCCACCAACAGGCATGCAATAGGTGGACAAAGTCCCACCAGCACTATTCCAACATGAATACATGTGGCACAGAATAGAGTCGCCAATATTCTGTATTTAATTGTAATGTTATATGCTTGTTTTCATCAAGTTGTTACTTGATTCTTTTTTTCAATGATGCTGGGGCATACAATATTCTTACACCAATTACACCAACTCTTTAGACAATTATAGAATTTGTGTGAGAATAGTTTTACAATGTAAGGAATGTGTTAAGGATAGGCATTGGTACTGAACATTATAGATTAAGTACACGCTGTAATGATAGAAAGCTTTGGATACGTGCCCATAGATATGTCGTAAAAATGGATAGATGTAGAGTAGCGATGGGTCAGTGGAAGGTTGTTTAGCAGGAGTATTTTTGTCTATTGGAAATAATTGGTGGGCTCTGTGGGTGCTTATTAAATGCATTTGCCTTGGATCCAGAGCTGTGAGTTTTACAGTGGTTTGAAAATGAAATAATGCACGAATATTTTGTGTACAGTTTTCCCTTTTTTTAAAGTCATGTCCACATATATTCAAAATCAGTTTGTTTTTTTACCAGCGAAAAAAGCAAGTTATGCAGAGTTGTATTTTTGTATTTAGTAGTTCTTGCAGAACAGTAACATTTTAACACTGGTTTATGTTTTCTTAACAGGTAGTGCTGCTAGCACACACACACACAGACACACTCTTTCTCAGGTTCTTGGTATTTTCGTCCAAACCTTTTGGGCACAGTTTGCACATCCCGTGGCTACTCATTAACAACATCATAACACATTCAGGTTTTCTTCAAGCTGTTCCATGATCATTTCATTGATCATACTCTACTGCCATTTCTATTTATCAAATATATGTTACTGTAGTCATTACTGTCTGAGGATAACTGCCTGTATTGACTGGTTTTGCCAGCAACTTTTAATTGCTAAATGGCAAACACAATGTAGGTTCATGTTTGTCTGCTTGATTAAGCACTGTGTGATTTTATTTTTAAATGTCATAACTCACATCTGATGTCAGTGGTGTGTTCAATGTAATGAAAGCTATAAATATAAAAAAATTTCAAATGACTTAATACATTTCAAAACTGAACTCCGTTGTTGATCCATCATATAACTCAAATTAAACTGTCACATTTGTTTCTATCATAATGGAAATGGTTACTAGGAACAACACAATGATGGCATTATACTTGTGTATGAATGCAGGCTTTGGTGTCTTATTATTGTGTTGCACCATTGAATAAAAAGCAGCTTTTTGTGAATCTGGTATTGGACTCATTTGTAAGTATGAATGAATTCCATGAGTGAATGTGTAGAATGCATTTTTGTTGAAAATAATAATATAATATAGATAATAATAACAGATGTTATTAATGTAGTAAAACCACCAGGGAAATTGTTCGGAGATGTGTAAAGGGATTTTGGTAGAACTTGACTTTATCTTGATAAAGAAAGACAACAATTGAAATGGAGCTACAAGGACTTGAGTGCCACAATATTGAACTGAAAAAACGGATCGGGCCACCTTGTACAGACATACTGTCTTGTGTTTGGACTGAGTGTGGTCATTTATATGGATTCCAGCCGTATTGGGATCAATGAAAGCAGACACTCAATAATACTCAACAAAAAAATGTGTTTTTATTGCACCTTTCATACAGTTTAGTGCAGTTCGAAGTGTTTAACATATGACTGACAATCCAAAACAAGTGTTAAAAAAAAGATACAAAGGATGTGAGACGGAACAAAAATACAACGTGTAGCCTAATTACAATAGATGTATACAGTGTGAAATTAAAATGTACAAATACACATTGACATAGTGGTCAGGGTTAATGGTATTCTATAACTTAAAGAACATTTGGAGAAGTACTTGACTAATCGTTTATTATGTAGCCCAAATCCACACTACCTAGTCCTACCAGTTGGTGGCGGTATTTCAATGTTAGCTAACCCAAAACGAAGAAGAGTCATCTTTTCTGATGTGGCTAGGTTCATGGGCTAGGTCCATGTTAGCCAGGTAGCACTCATGGTTGCTCTTTCTTTTGGATATTATTTCCCCATCACTAACTCGCCATGGGCAAGAGAGACAATCGAGTGGTGAGTTGTTTTACAAAATATGTGTGAAAAATAAGAAACCATTAATACAGGGTTCCTTTTTCTAAGCTAGCTAGGCTTAATACAAGCTGATGCTAGCGTAATCGCAGTTACTAGCGTTGGCTAACTGATGTTAAATGTATGCCATTCTGATTCTAGGCCTAGATAGTGCGTTAACATAATAAAACCGCAACAATAATATAATTTGAAATTACATCTGTTGATGTAAATCGCTTTGTGCATCGATTAGTCGTAAAAAAGTGAGTCTGTAGCTCAACCAACAGGCCTCTAAGCTACCAATGCTAACTGTGACGTTAGCTCATAACATCTTGGACAATCTGTTGACGTGGTGTGGTTGCGCAGGATTTGTATTTGCATCCTGAGTCTATATACAGCTTTAACACACTAGAAGGGATTTAATAAACCAATATGACGTTTAGATACACGGTAGCTGTGTTAAAAAAAACATTTTCTGATTACTAATTTTATCAATGACGCACATAATTTCTGGTTGTGTTTTGCTGAAGGTAAATCGTACAGTATACGGCGAATAAGGTAGCTTGCAGGTTGCAAGATAATACCGTTAAGCACATCGTTTATATTTGATTACGGTTTGGTTATTGGGCTTAAAAAAATGGATTTATATCTCTTATGAACTGTCTTTTGTTCAATTCATTTTGTTTTTAATTATTATGTGTTAATGTATATGTGAAGCACTTTGAATTGCTGCAATGTGCGATGTAAATAAACTAACCTTAACATTTCCCTGTACTAAAACTGTTAACATAAAACCCCCAGTTTGGTTTTCAGTTGAATGCTAAATTAAGGATGTAGGGTTTCGTATTGCAATATACTATTTAACTGCATAACTGTTTAATTAAGGTGTATTTCAATAACATTTATAAAATGCATTATTCTGTTTGGTGTTCCAGGCTTACATCAACCCCATTGCAGCTTCACGAGCCAAGGGACCGTCTGGTAACGCCGGACCAACTATACAAGATTATTTAGGCAGACCTCGGCCAACATGGTGAGCGAAAGACAGACGTCCTCATTGGCCTTCACTGACATAAATATTTAAAGCTGGTGCTGAGAGGATTATGCAGTTTTGTAGTCCATGTTTCTCCCTAGAGACAGCAGGAAGCAGCACATGTCTTCCAGGCTCATAAAGATACAGAAACACTTTTTTTTAAATAACAACTGTCTTCATTTGGTCAGTCAGTGTAAAACACTGGTCTCAAATGCATCCTTGGGCTTTTCCTAAATATTTAAGTGTCACTGTCTTATTCAACTCCAATGACACAGCAGCAGAAAACAAATACTGGTTGATTTCAGTCAGTATTGTTGCAACATCATCCTTGCTATGTCAACAATAACAAAATGAGAGCAGAGAGAGATGTCCAGATGTTTATTCATCGGCAAAATGCATTGATTATAAATGATGCAGATCCAACTGTAAACTGCATCATATGTCTCTTTTACAAGTGTAATTAATTATGTTTAATGTTCTCCCCATGAAATACCCAAAGTGTACTTAACTTATTAGCAGTAAAAAGCGCTGTACAGGTTAAACTTGCTTTCTTTAAAGGTGGGGTAGGTAAGTTTGAGAAACCGGCTCGAGATACACTTTTTGTTATATTCCATGGAATGCTCTTGACATCCCGATAGCAATGAATATCTGAAGTGCTTTGACAAAAAATCCATAAAAAAACTTCATCTGTAGAAGTACTGTAAAAAGCACGACCAATCATCTGAGCCGGCCCGGCTAAAATGACTGGATGGCCTACCTGCCTGTCAGCCTTCCACCTGTGCACAAACTTATCTCGTGCCCTCATTGGTCATGTGCGCGTTCGTGTGTGTTGGAGGAGGGGCTCTGTAAGAAAGTCTGTAAGGAAGTGGCAGATTTGTTACGGCTGTGTTTTTTCAAATTCTTGCGCACTCGATCTGGTTTCTCCAAAATTACCTACCCCACCTTTAAGCAAAGAGCTTTTGCCTTTTATATTTTAGAAAACATTATTGAGATATTTATCTCGAGAACATAATCATATGAAAGGATATACATTTATTTTATTGTTTACCTTTTGTATTTTGTCTTTTCTCACACTGTATTCTAAATGGTCAACTTGTATCTGGTAAAATGTCATATCTGATCCCAAATGAAACAAGGCGGCATATTTAAATAATTACCTTCTATACCTCAAAGCCAGTATGAAAGTTTATTTTGCATTACCTAAAGAACAATGTTTTTTAAATGCCATATTTACAATGACACGACGGGATTATTAAATGGGGCTTTAATATATCATATTTTATTATAACTGAAAATATTTGGCTAACAAATGCTGGAAATGGATAGGACAATTGAATCATGCATTTAAGAATGAAGGAATGAACGAGACTTTCTTTAATTTGGGTTAACATAGTAACTTAAAACATTTAACATTATAAACTGTGCTGCAACTGATTTATTGTCTCTCTTTCAGGGAGGAGTTAAAGGAACAGCTGGAGAGAAAGAAGAAGGGCTCTCGAACCCTGGCCGACTTCGAGGACAAAATGAACGAGGTATGTTTTTTGGAATATGTAGACTGACTGACATTATTTTGTTCTTAATGATCCCCTTCTTGACCTAAAATCATGTTCAATCCCAGCTGTGAGTGTCACGCCTAATGGCAATCTTTTTTACTGTACCCATAAACTTGTATTCATATTTGAGGGGCTCAACTGGCAAACAAATAACAATATAAATGGTGAATACTTTTTAAATGGATTTGCTGTCATTTTCAGAAATGGAGGAAAGAACTGGCTAAAAACCGAGAGAAGTTGTTGAGTGCAATTGAGAAAGAAAAAGAGAAGAAGACAGCGGACAAGGAAAAAGAGAAGAAGACGGCAGACAAGGAAAAAGAGAAGAAGACAGCGGACAAGGAAAAAGAGGAGAAGAAAGAGAAAAAAGAGGTATTGTATCTCTCCTTCATCGGACATTTCAACATTCTTGATTCTAATTCATCACAGTCTTTACTGACTATGCATCTTTTTATTTGTGTTTAGAAAAAGAAGAAAGAGAAGAAGAAATCCAACAGGGTGAGGAGAGACCTCCAGTATTTTGATGGCCAGCTGAATCACAGTTCACACACACACACACACACACACACACACACACACACACACAGCCTGCCTATACTCCTGATATGGTCTTTTACTGTTCCAATATCCAAAATAAGAAAATAATAACCTCAAGTCTAATGAACCCTGCTTACATTGTGTTTTGGTCAAGCATTCTTCATCTTCCTCCTCATCGAGTTCTGATTCTTCCAGCAGCTCCTCCTCAGAATCTGAAGACACAGTAAGTCATTGCAGACTTCAAACATGTGATACAAAATATTGCTAAACACTAAGAACATGTTGTAACCCATAATCCCACTGAAGCTATGTGCTCCTGAAATGCCTGCTGTTTGCTTATAGAGCACAGTTAACGGGTGTTTCTCAATGTCGAGGACTTGGTAGGACAAGTCCCTCCAAGTCAGGTCCTTCAGAAGCGAGGCAAGAATCCTTCCTAGCCTCGGAAAACGAAGAATGGTGGAACAGGCTAACAGATGTGCGCAGGTGTGCACCGCCTTAAATGGAGCGTGATTTCTGCCAAAGATTTGGAAATTGGTCCGTGCGCAAAGCATTGTGGGGATTTTAAGACCGGAGTCTACATGATGTGCAGCCTCGAAATTTTCCGCAACGAAGGACGCCAGCCTCGGTAGAATTCCAAGTATCCTGGACATTGGAACAGTCCTTCGACGGCACTCGATGACGTAGCATCCTTGAAATAGTGGCTCGACATTGAGAAACACCCACAGCCTCGTTCTAACAATAGCTTCCTGTGTTTGAATAAAGATAAGATGAAATGTACTTTATTAATCCTAATTTGGGATTTTCTTTAGAGAGTAAGAAAAATAAACTATACACTGACTGACAAATAAAAACACTATAGAAGGGCCAGTTTTCTGTTAATCAGATATAATATATAATATAAGCAGGATATTCTTTACATCAAGTGTGCATGGAACGGAAAGATCTGTTTTAAATCCCTAACGAAGTGTTTATCAGACAACTTATTAGAGACATCATAAGGTCCTACACTAATGCAGCATTACATTGGTTTGATTGCGTTTCTATTTGTATATACAGGATGAAAAGAAGAGTGTGAAGAAAAAGCGTAAGAGAAAGAAGTCCTCAGCCAGGAGAGCGTCGAACGGCTCGGAGGACGACTCTGATGCTGAAAGCAAGGTTTTCTTCTTCTACTCTCAACAGTGTTTAAGTACACTCCAATAGAATCAGGTTCTGGTGTCGTAATCCAATAATGAATCCATGCCAGTGTTTAATCTAAATGTTGTTGATTTTCTTCCCAAGAAGAAGAAGAAAAGAATCAAGGAAGAAGGGGACAAAGATAAGGTAACTTATTGTATTCACCGTCTTCATATTTCCACAGATATGCGTTATGTTTTATTAAACATCTTGTCCTTTTGTTCTTGCCAGTTAAATCAAATCTTAACACTTTATATTAATAATTCATAATGGTGATGTTAATCTTTTGTCTGTCAGGATGACAAGAGCCGTAAAAAAAAAAGGAAGTCCGAGCGAAGCCATAAAGACTCGTCTTCAGAGTCCTCTGCTGAATCAGAGGGGGAAGAGGTATTTTTTATTATTACTAGGACTGTAGATGTAACCATCTCTTTCACCACTTCTCATCCCGATTACAGTTTTTACCAGTTAAACTGTAGACCCTTTTAACCTTTTATCACTTCTTTGTTCCTCATTATTATGACCTTTGTTCTTCTTTTAATTCAACTTAGGGGGATGGACCCATTGAGTGCACAGGTCACGCTGAGTTATAAGCAATACAGCAGTGAACAGAACCCACTTCCCTAAGAATTTAACATTGTTTTTGTCACTGCTGTTTACATTTCTCAAAAAATGCACTTGGCCTACGAGAAAGTCCTTCTTGTTTTGTCACATTTTTCTTTTGAAGCTTAACGGCCTTAACAACACCTACTTGTCTTTGTGCAACCCTGTGTTGCATAAATACAAAAAGTGATCATCGAATAACTACTGGACAGAAAGTGGGAACACATATTTAACACAAAGCACTCATGTAAAGTCGCTCCACAAGTACTCGCAAAACATACACCTACACACGGCCACATACCATATTCTAAGAAAACAAATATATATTTTACATACTTTAATTTGCTCACACGCCAATACATATTGCATTAGGGAACATAAAGGGATACCTTATGAAAATGCTACTGATAAAAGAGCCAGTCACAGACTAATCTCTGGTAATATCTTCAACAAGTGACTCCCGTCTGCACTGTAGGTCTTTTTAACGGATTAACCGTACATTACATTACACAATTTGCCAAATACAGTTAAGTATCAGTTCTCCTTGTGTGGTTTCTCGTCCAGATGTGTTAGCTTTCTCTCTGTCACGCATCATTGGGAGTCTGGTAAATGATATTTCAGAAGCAGGCCATGACCCCATGTTGGCTCATTCACATTAATGGCTACTGTGAGAGAACAACAGAGAGAAGGTAAACAGTAAAACAATATATGGAGAGGCGAAGTCCCGCCCATCTACTTCCAACCCATGGGACCTTATTTCGGAAAAATTATGTATTGAAGTCAATGAGGAGAGAAAGATTATCTTTCGATCCCGTTTGAATTATGCCACGAATTACACATATGATGTTTGTCAATCTTAAACAATAATTTCCATGTAAAAAAAGTCAGTTTGTCGCAAGACGGTTGAAATATAAGACTACGAAAAATACGCAACTAGAAAGACTACAAATCCCGGTCCTGCATGCTGGCAACATGCCCAGACTTGTAGTGATTTTCACCTCTTTTAAAGGTCCCATGTCATGCTTTTCCGGTTATTACCCGTCCCCTTGTGTGTTATGAAGGTTTTTATGCATGTAAACGGTCTGCAGAGTCACAAACCCTCAAAGTACACCCTGTAGCGAGTAAAACTCTAACACAGACCTCCCCAAAACGCCTCGTTGGTGAAACGTCATCATCCATTTGATTCTTCCGGGTACGAGATTACGTAAGCATGTACCCGGAACGAAATGGACCAATCCGTGGAGCCGTTAAGTTACGTCCGTGGAGCCGTTACGTTAAGCCCCCGCTGATTGGTCCAAATTAACCAATCCACAGACTTCCTCACACACTCAGTGCAAGTAGCTCTGCTGATTTCTCCTCTGGCTGCAGGCTGATAACAGACAGTTGGGATCGCGGCGAAATTCTCTCTGCAGACCCATTCTCACAGCGTTTATCAACCTTTTTCTTACTCAATATCAAGCCACACTTATTGTTTTTACTTTGGCTGTGAGTTTGTGTGTGCTCAGGGTGTGTTTGGCTGTGTATCGCTAAACAAGGAAATAACACCTCCACGGAGCTCAGCGCAATTCACAACGTCCCGACCAATCAGAGCACACTGTGCTCACAGGGAGGGTGGGGCTGGAGCTATTGGAGCTACAACGAGCTCCAAGGCAGAGAGTGAAATTCAGTGAATACACGTAGTTTACAGAGATGCTGTATGAGAAACCAATGTGAGTTTGGAAAATTGCACAATATAAATCTATTCTAGTCGACCTCAACAATGGAATTATGATCAGTGGAAATGCCCATGACATGTCTCCTTTAATACTTTTCGCCACATTCTGAAAGAAGGAAGTGAAATGTGCTAACGTGATGGCCATCTTGGTGTGTGGTGCGAGATAGGAGATGTAGTTCATTGAGCGGTTTCACACACAAAAAAGTGTTACTTACTACTACACAGTTTTACGACACAAAATGATCTTATCTTTTAGATTGACAAACATCATATGTGTAATTCGTGGCACAATTCAAACGGAATCGAAAGATAATCTTTCTCTCGCCATTGACTTCAATACATACTTTTTCCGAAATAAGGTCCCATGGAGCTCCCCCGGAAAGGGAGGGACTTCGCCTCTCTATTGCCCTCGCCTTAATGACTTGCATTGCTTTCAAAGCTTAGTCTAAAAATCAGCTTCAAAATCAGTCCTTTTGTTAGATTAATAAATGTTTTAAATGATTTGTTGCTCAAGAATGATACGGACATTTCATACCTGGTTAAATGTGCTTTTTTTTATGAAGGAAATGTATGAGTTTATATTTATATTATAATTTACTAATGTAATCAATCTTTCAACGCATTACAGGGTTAGTGTAGTTTCATGTTCGTTTTTCGCTAACAGACAAGTACAACCTTTATTTATGAGTGCCAGTGAACCGTTTCCATTGATCCTTGCCACTACTGTCCACCCTTTGCATTTAGATTTGGAGCTGTGTGTTGCCTCTTCCCAAAATATCTTCAACAGTTGAGAAGAAAGGCATTCAACCCAGAAATGAATGACCTTATGAAATGGATTTGTAATTAAATTTGGGGTCTTTTTTTCTGCAGTTGCTCGTGTAAACTCCATGATTGTGAAACTGTTTGGTTACTTCCCTCTTCCTATGGTTTTTATTAGATTATTTTCCCGTCTTGCAGGCTGAAGCCAAGAAGAAAAAGAGAAGTAGCGAGGAAAAGGACAAAATCACAGTGAGACATTAACTTACTTTCATTTTTTTAAACAAGTGCAGATAGTGAGACAGATTTTTATTTTAAGACTGCAACAAAGACACATTTTAGGAATGCACAAATGAGTAAGTAGCATTGTAACATTAGATGGTTCGGACAGGTTGTACATGGACTGTATCTACATTAGACCGATCCGGCATAGTATCAGCTGTTGGGGATGCAGCAATATATATGTGTGTCTACTCAACCAGAAAGTCCCTAGCAACAAAACAACTCATTTGTTTGGCTATAGCTAATCACGCTGTGGCATTGATACTAACTTAAGAGAAATTACTGACTAGTATGTTTTTGTACACAGGACAAATCCAAGAAGAAGAGGAAAAAGAAGCACAAGAAACACGGCAGAAAAAAGAAAAAGAAGGCAGCTTCTCATTCAGACACGGAGCTCGACTAATGCCCGTGTCTCTGCGCTTCTCTCGTCGTGTTGTTTTTGCCGCTGACCTCCACAAAACCCTCCTATCCAGCTTTGGTCATCACAATTGAAAAATATACGTACAAACTTGCCATGCTGGGGTTTTTAAGAGTGAAATTGAGGCAGGCAGCTATCTGTGGCAACTACCGGTTCATGTTTACTGTTGATTTGTATCACCTTGCTTTTGTAGATAATTGTTCTTTCACCCACGGGACTGAGATGAATTCCCCCCCCCCCTCCCCTCTCATCTTGGAGACTTCAGTGTGACCTGCTCTCACCTTCACCCTGGAGCTCCTCTTCTCTCCACTTTACACCCCACATCTCACATTTCTAGTTGCTAAATGAGGCCGTCCTGCTAGTGCCTGCGTCGTGCATGTAGACCTGATGTCCCCCCAGCCTCATATTGAAGTTGGACTTATAAGAAATGTGAGCTGCAGAGTCAACATTTATACAAAGGATACTTGTTCCGTTAGATGAATTGTTACAGTGTTGTGTACATGAATAAACAATGGCAATTCATCAATAAAGTATTGTTTTAACCTTTATTGCTGTTAATAAGTTACAACCTTTATTGTGAGATTATTTGATATGTTGTCTGTGTGGGCATAAACACAAATCATACATTGATATAAACCGTCAACCGTTGGATTTAATTTGTGGTTACCCTGCCTCAATTATAAATCTTGTTCTGCTTTGTCACACTTCCTTAAAAGTTAAGGAAACTAAGCACTACTCTAAAATACAGCTCCTCAAAAAGCTTCCTATTCTTATTCTTAATTATACTTGTTATTAATGCCAATTTCTTAAAAAATAAAATACAAAAAAGACAATTGGTTAAGAAAGTATTCAGATCAGATTAAAATTGTTTTTTTGTATAGTTAGAAAATGTCTTGCATTCCAAACCTTAGCAGAGACACCAAAGTGTCATCGTCAAAATATACTTACATTTTCATAATAAAGTAAAGGCCCCCTTTAGGCAAAATGGTCCACTTTAGAGTATGTGTTTCTGGATTATCCTTTCTTATCCCTTCATCTAAGCACCATTTGAATGTACACTATAGACCAAAGTATTGGGCCACCTACAGGAGTTGTTATGACATCCCATTCCAAATTCTTAGGCATTAATATGAAGTTGGTCCCTCCTTGGCAGCTATTACAGCTTCCACTCTTCTGGGAAGGCTTTCTACAAGATTTTGGAGTGTGTGGGAAATATTGACCATTCATCCAGAAGATAATTTGAGAGGTTAGTTAGACACTGATGTTGGACGAGAGGACCTGGCTTGCAATCTCTGTTCTTGTTCATCCCAAAGGTCAGGGCTCTGCGGGTCAGCCAATTCTTCCACACCAAACTCATCCAACCATGCCTTTATAGACATTGCTTTGTGCACTGGGGCACAGTCATACTGGAAAAGAAAACTACTCTGGTCTTAAAATAACGTTACGCATCGAACTGATGTCCACAATCACGTTTATTTACCTCACAATAATGAAACACCGTGAAAACGTGTTCACCTAGTAGACCAGCAGTAGAAAAGGCACATTATTAACATCGTTGACACTTTCAGCGCCGTTTTACTCTCTCACAAACACAATGTAAACATCCGGGGTTAGAGGTCACATGACTTCCGGAAAGATAACTTATAATTTTTAACAAAATAAAACGAAGTTCTAGCATACATTAGGCGTTCTTCAAAAATACAAAACAATAAATAAGGGCACTTTGAGCGTCTGCTACATTCCCCAAACTGTTTCCACAAAGTTGGAAGCATAGAATTGTCCAAAATGACTTGGTGAGACTAAGATGAGGCATTAAGAATCCCCTTCACTGGATCAAGGCCAACCCCAGAAAAACACCCCATAGCATTATCCCTCCTCCACCAAACTTTACAGATGGCACAATGCAGTCAGGCAGGTAACGTTCAGCTGGCATTCGCCCAACCCAGACGCGTCCATCAGATACTTTAATAATATCATTGTGTGATTCTTATTTGCTAATGTTTATCTATATTTACTACTTTCACTTATTTGCTAAGCTTGGGGAAATTCCTTATTAAGAAGATTTGTTGCAGTGTTGTTAGTTACACTCCATGTGCACCAACAACTCAGTTGAACTGAGAACATCCTTATCACCAAACTTTACCCCTCCCTTTCTCCTCTCTCTGTGTTTAAATATGCATCCCAAACTCTATTCTTTGTCTTTCACTCTGCAATGTATCAGCTGATACTAAATTGTTTTGTTTTTAATTTATCAGCAGTAACTAATAATGCAGTGAAGTAACAATGCCATTATCTATTGAAGTAGAAAGTAGCAGAACATCGAAATTAGGGCAAAGTGCATACCTCTTAATTGTACTTAAGTATACTAATTAAACATACTTAGTTTAAGACATACCAAGGTCCTATGTAATTAATTAAGAAATGTGCTAATATGCAAAAAAAGGTGTATGAACCACTGTTAGTTTATAAGTAACATTTGCTTTGAGTACTTAACGTTTAACCTACTTCCTCATTTGAAAACAAACATTTATTGCATCAATAGTTTTTCAGGTTTTACAGGCAGGTCTTGTTATGTTGAACATTGAAATTGCAACAAAGGTTAATGTGAGCCTTCCTTGTTTAATCATTGAGGTGTAGGAGTGTTTTCAGAAACGTCCACTGTCATGATTTGACAATCACATGATGACCCACAGCCACAGGGTGTGTACAGTTGGACTTCTAGATTTCTAGTGGGAGTGTCTGACCTGCCTTATAAAGACCAATGCATTCGTGCTTCAGTTCAGGGGAAGTGTAACCGTAGCACAAGAAGTTGTTGAAACACTTGCAAGGTAAGTGATAAGAATAATCTGCCTCAAATCCTGTATACTTTATGGTTTGTTATTTACAGTCACAACGTCTATTAGTAGCCTACTGTTCAGGGATATCCTGAGATTAAAGAAGATTAAAGTACAAGATAAAATGAAACTGAAAGTTGAAGCATGTGAACAAAATCAAAGACATTTAAATCACAATGTAGTTTATGAACTGGAAATAATCTATATGAGACATATAGTGGAACTGCAAATAATGTAACTAATTTAACTGATTTCAATTAACCTCACATTATTACTGTTTTGCAGATGTTGAGGACTACTCTGTGGTTGTTAGTGGGAGTGTTTGTGTGGGGGTTTGCATCCTGCATTACATGTCCTGACGGGAGCCACTGCAGTGATCACGCCACCTGCTGTATGACTGAGCATGGATATATCTGCTGCCAATATCCCAATGTAAGTCACTTCAAAACATACAGTAACACAACATGTAGTTATAGAGACTAACGTTTATCTCTATGTGCATTTATTTGTCTTTAGGCTGTGTGTTGCGCTGACCTGGCCCACTGCTGCCCTTCAGGGTTTCGCTGTAACCTGGTCACTCAGATGTGTGATAAAGCACCATGGATGAGAATCCCCATGGTGAACAAGGAAGCTGCAGAGAAACCAAGCACTCCTGTTCGACCAGCATCTCCCATCCAGGAACTCCAAAACAATGCTGTACCAGAGCAAACAAAGAATTCAGATGTCTACTGTGACAGCTATTTCAGGTGTCCCGATGGCTATACCTGCTGCAGACAGCCAACAGGAGCCTGGTTCTGTTGCGTGTACTATTTTGTGAGTTGACCTTCATAGGATTGTGTAATGAATTCCAAACAAAGAGAGTTATCTTTCATAATTCTTCAGTATTGGATCCACTCTGCATTTAATGTAAAATATATATACAAAAAATATATATATGTTATTTGAAATATGTTTTCCTCTTTCACTTCTAAATGTGTTTATGTCTTTGATTCTGTTTTTTTAATTGCATGTTTTTCTTTTTATACATATTGGTTTTAGAATGGTCAAGTCAAGGGCGGTGATCCAAGAATCTGATTGCCAATTACTGCTTCTGTTACCGTCGTGCATTTGACAATGATTAACTTGTTACTTGTTTTAAAATGTAGGGCAGGTGTTGTCTGGACGGCTACCACTGTTGTCCATATGGCTACGACTGTGACCACACGTATACACAATGTGTGAGGCGAGGCCTGAGCTATCCCTTCAGCCCCAGAGAAAGTCTCACCTCAATCCCTGCCTCTCCCATTTCAACTTCAGAGGACAAAAGCATCATACAAGAGGTATGACATATGGCAGTAAATGTGCCTTTATGTGGTGTATAAATCCTGGGGATGGGTATCTCAATGACCATCATCAACAAAGGTCCTGAAAGTCCGTCCTCCATCAGCTTTCTAATGTAGGTGATGGGGCTCTACACAAGTTTTCACAGGAGTTATTTACTTGTAGGCTTTCTTCCTGTAATTTGTTTTACTGGTTTGAGGTGGGCGGGGCTCAGTTGAAAAGTGATCCCACATCATTCTGTGCACCAATCAACATTAAGCATCATCTGAATCAATATGTTGACAGTTGTTGGTTTGTGTGCTTATGTTAACAGGCCACTGGCATTCCAATATGATCAAATCAAACCTAAAACGTGTTCTCTTCCTTGTATGTGTTAACTTACTTGGCAATAAACCTGTTTCTGATTCTTAAAAACAAATCTTGATAAATAATACTAAAGGCTTTTTCCCTGAAAAGAAAGAAACCTCTTACCAATATTCAAATTGTAAAAGTTCAAATGACTGTGTATAAAAGATTTGTATTGTAATGACAAACTTACAGAGACGTACTGTACAGTATGTATCAACCTACTATTCCACTAAGCTCTACATGCCCAAGCTTCCTTTATGTCTTTGTGTTGGTTTTACAGCCTGCAACTCCTCTCAACAAAAAAATAAGTATTTATAGTTAAATATGTATTTAATAGCAAGGTTATTTTGTGTATCCCTTTTGCAGACACCAATGACGGCTCTGACAGAAACCAAGGATGGTATCCCTGAGGCTGGTATCCCTGAGGCTGGAGTCATTCGCTGTAATGACAAGTTTTACTGCTCAGCAGGGACAACTTGCTGCAAAGACACCAAAGGCAATTTGAGCTGCTGTCCCTTCCCACTGGTATGAATTGTCCATGACACATGAAAGCCGTCAACACACACAACAACTTAATTATCAACATCATTTTAAAGTGCATTTTTCCAAACTATAAACACCTAAAACTGATGCATCTGACATATGTTTGTTTTGTTCAGTAAATAAATTAGCTTATCCACTTTAGTGTGGCACTTTTCTAGTCAATACTACCATTTCCTAACATCCAGACCTTTTCTGTTTCAGGGCACATGTTGTAAAGATGGCAAGCACTGCTGTGAGTATGGCTTAAAGTGCTCCTCCACTTCCCTGTCATGTGAAGGAGGGTACGCTCACATCCCATCAGGCCCCCGGGAACATGCCAAATCAACCGAGGACATGTTGTAAAAGTGTGTGCACTGTGATAGCTTTGCGATTGTCTTGATATAGTGCTGGCCAAATCAAACAATGAATCATAAGACCTATGAAAATGAAGTAAATAATATGCTTATCCTCAAAAGATGAGTGATCCATGGTGGCTGTTTTTCTTTTCACAAGGGATGGCATATTTTTAATATCCAGTTTATCGAGACTTCTTGCAAAAGTTTGTATTCATTGCAGTGGTGTAGTAGGTCTATTGAGGATTTTTTATCTGAAGATGTCAATTGAGAAATAGATAATCACGAATGATTTAATGCCAATCTCATTTTTTAATGATCACTTTTTTATGTAACAGAAAATATAACATTTTATAAACTTATTTTAATACAAATATGCCAATGTGAGTGAATTTCATTTGTTCTCCTACAGCCTGAAATCCTTGTGTCACTGGGCGATGGTACACTCACCCAGTGGTGTAAAGTAACTAGATACTGTACATAAGTACAATTTTGAGGGACTTCAATTTCTAGCTTCTTTGTACTTCAACCCCATTACAAATCAGAGTTAGATCGTGTACTTTTACTACATTACTTAATACCTTTAGTTTCTTTGCAGATTTGAATGAATGATTTTAGAAAGACAATCAACACTTAAAAAAGGACTTTAGTTACACCCAAGGGTGTAACTTTGGTTTGAGAAGTGGGGGGGACACAAAACAGAGGCTCCTCCGCAATGAAACATATTTCTCGATTTAATTCCATTTCCTGCTTTCTACAAATATATATGTATTATTATATATATTAAATATATTTATAAACATTGGTTGTGAGCATATTCTAATGGTTTTTGGACTATTGAAATATATACAGTTCTGTTATATGAGTGTTGAGAGCTGTATCCATAAATCTCTTAATTTTGCTCTCAAAGTGCACCAGATCAATCAGATTATCAATTATATATATTATTATATTATATATATTAGGTGCACCATCAATCTGGTGCACTTTGAGAGCAAAATTAAGAGATTTATGGATACAACTCTCAACACTCATATAACAGAACTGTATATATTTCAATAGTCCAAAAACCATTAGAATATGCTCACAACCAATAACACAGAATTGATAAACTCCTCTCTCCTATCTTTATTTTACCTAGTCTGCATTCTTTCTTTTTATGTATGCATATTTTACTTATCACTCCCCTTTTAAACTGTATTTTAAATTTTTTACTGACAGTGGAGTTATTTCTTAACTTATTTTGAACAACTATATTAAATAGATGGAAATATTTGTTTTCATAGATGACCAAACCGTTTGAGACCCACTGAGATAACTTTTACAAAAAGTTTACAATCTAATCACTCAGCGAGTCCTTTACTTCACCTAAACTGACGTTATCTCAGCCTCTCAGTCTGACAGGAGAGAGCTCACCCTCTCTGTTATCTCAGCCTCTCAGTCTGACAGGAGAGAGCTCACCCTCTCCGTTATCTCAGCCTCTCAGTCTGACAGGAGAGAGCTCACCCTCTCCGTTATCTCAGCCTCTCAGTCTGACAGGAGAGAGCTCATCCTTATTGTTGAAATCTCTCTCTCTCTCTCTCTCTCTCTCTCTCTCTCTCTCTCTCTCTCTCTCTCTCTCTCTCTCTCTCTCTCTCTCTCTCTCACACAGACAGACGCTCCTCCGTGACGATGAACACTTGCGTAAAAAAATAATAATAAACACATTTGAAAAGTGGGGGGGGACACAAACAGGATTTTGAAAAGTGGGGGGGACATGTCCCCCCTGTCCCCAGTGGAAACTACGCCCATGGTTACACCTAGAGTAAAACTAATAAGCTAACTCGCCGCATACAAAGTAGGCCTACTTAAAACACCTTTACCAGCTTTGATAACACTTTAATGCATCAATTATTATAATCAGAACATATTATATGCATATTGTATATTTTACACACGGCATCTATTGCACGTCTGTCCGTCCTGGGAGAGGGATCCCTTCTCTGTTGCTCTCCCTGAGGTTTATCCCATTTTTTCCTTTAAACTGTGGGGTTTCTCCGGAAGTTTTTCCTTGTACGATGTGAGGGTCTAAGATGGGTGTCGTATTGTCATACTGATATTCTGTACAAACTGTGAAGTTCACTGAGACAAATGTAACATTTGTGATATTGGGCTATATAAATAAACATTGATTGATTGATTGATTGAATATTCTGTGACCAATTTGCATAATGAGTACTTTTACTGTTGGTAAGTATATTTAGATGCTAATAATTGTGTACTTTTAATTTAGTAACATTTTGATTGCAGGACTTCTACTTGTAACAGAGTATTCATACACTCTGGTACTTCTACTATTATTTAAATGAAAGATCTGAGTACTTCTCCCATCTCTGCACTACCAGTGTTTCCCCATACCAATAAGGATACATTTCCCAACTGTGTCGTTTGTCAAAGGGCTTTTACTTTGAAAGGAAACAAACGGAAGTGTCATTTACATTCCGGAAGGCTCACTTTCCTTTGTTCCGGTGTGTTCCGCTTAGATGGTGGAAAGATGATTGAAGCCGAACTTGAAGTGTTTGTTTCCGAGCGGCTACATGCTGCTGCCTCTGAAATAATGGGTGTTTTTAAAAAGACGTTAAAGGGTTACGAGCAGCAGGCGGCCCGACTCAAGGAGGAAAACCAGCGCAACCGTTCGCTGTTGGACATGATCCTTAAAGCTCAGAAAGGTTCGTCTGGTTGTATAATGGCGAATAATCTCTCCTCTTTCTCTTCTTCTTCTTTGCTTTAATGGCGAGTCACAACCACTTGGAGCATTATGGCCACCTACTGTTGACTTATTGAATCTTCAAGTTAAATCTTTGTCCTCAGACCAGTGTTTTTGAGAAACTTGAAGATCAGTTTGTGAACTTCATTTTTTGAGTTACTTGCGAATATTGACTTGAAATCCATGTCCTTAATGTTATGGTGTTCCATTGCAGTTTTCAGAATGAGTCTTTGGTTAGTATATTCCGGGCAGCTAAAAAAATACATGATTTATTGTCTCTGATTGTTGGCCACCATCACAATTGCCAGTTGGATGTTTTCCAATGCAGTGATGAGTCTAATCCGGAGTGACCCAATGTTATCCTGCTGATAATGTTCTGTTCTCTTCTATTACTCCCGCAAGTGCTTTCCATTCCTACTTCCCTTTGTATCTGGTATACATGTCTTCCTTTAGTGTTACTGTCCCATAACTTTTGCCATTGTTGCTTGATTATAACTTTCGTAAATGATTTGACTTCCGCCCTACTGATAATAATTCCTCCTCTTTCTCTCTCTTCCTCTCTGTCATTTCAATATTTAGTTTTGCTATTAATGTACCAGGGACGGTATTACCAAAACCTCAAGTTATAATGAGAATATTATAAAAATAACAAATTACAGTTCTTATAATTAGGAACATTTTAAGAACTGTCTTACAAACAGTCTGTAAGACTGTGTATGAGTACATCTTGGAGGGTCTTGGTGGTTATGTACTGTATAGATCCTCCAAGCAATTCAAAGTTATTCAAAATCATCCAGTGTGTTTCAAGTTCATTAGTTTCGTAGGATAACAACGATAAGTCATTTATAGCCACTCTCTGTTTCTTAAATGTGTTTTTTAAATATGTAATATAACTACTGCTCCTTCGCATTTGTTTTTCACTTTACTCTGCATTAGGTCGCCCCATGAAAAGCAACCGGGATGTTGTTGGTCCAGTTGCATCCTTTTCAAGTACTGTCAGCAAGGTCGAAAACATCCAATGCTCCAATAGTGGTAAGACTTAAGTCAAATCAGTTCATTAAGATTCTATGAGACACTTAAAAATGAATCAAGTTGTGTCTCTGACATTGACACCATTACTCACCCCAGTGTGATGTGCTACATCAGTCATTACATTGTAAAACCTTACATAACTATTAAGTGCAACTTCCCTTTCAATAACTACAAAACACTCATTGTTTGCTCAAATGTCTCCTATGTCTAATACCACCCTCGAAGGGAAAATTGGCATTTCAGTCATTCTGAATGAGGCTTTTGATAGGATGTCTCAGTGTTTCCCACAGATATGAAATATACTTGGGCGGGTGGTGGCAGGGGGGGGGGGGTGCGCGAAAAAAAAAAAAAAAAAAAGTTTTAACAACATTATTTATTGACTTTTCATTCCGGTATAATCATTTTGCGCAAAGATGGCACTGTTTGTCAGAGCACTTCATCCTTCTGGGATTTCATGAAAAACAGCTCCAACGCCTGTGTGTATGGGAATGCCTCTGGTGCTGGTCCATTAACTGCCAGTGTTTCCCACAGATCTGAAATATACTTTGGGGGGTGGTGGTAGCGGGGGGGGTTGAGGTGACGTGCAACAACATTAACCTTTCTGTTGGTCGCTTGTTAGCAGACCCTTCACGCGATGGCAGAGCCAACAGGTACAGGCAGGGCCCATAATGATAGCCCTATAGTTTAAATCTACTACCCACACATGAACATATGGAAATGGGCTACTATTTAAAAAAATAAATGTATTTATTAATGTATTTAGGAACCTATCCATGTGATTTTTAGTGGGGGTCGACCTCAAATCCTCTAGGGGGGTCCAGGGGCATGCCCCCCCGGTAAGATTTTATTTTTTATTTTGGAGTTAAATGCATCAATCTGGTGCATTTTGAGGGGAAAATAAAGAGATCTATGGAAACACCTATATTAAACAGAACTGTATACATTTCAATAATCATAAAATCATGGCCATAACCAATAACATACCATTTCCAATATGAAAAAAACACTGAAACTTGTTAATTTATTTTTGGTTCATTTATAGTTGTGAGTGTGTCTGTGCTCCTGAATCAGCCTCTCCTGTCTCCCTCCTCTCCCCCCTCTCCCTCCTCTCCCCCTGCTCCTCTTTGAGGCAGCAGCAAAGACTAGTTTTCTCTCAACAAGTTTTAAAAAATCTTACCTTTTTTCACCTAGTTAACTTTTTATTTATTTATTCATGCATATTTTACTAATCACATTACATTTCATTTAGCTGACGCTTTTATCCAGAGGGACTTATAATGACCGATTACAGGGACATTCTCCCTGGAGTAACTAAGGGCTAAGTGCCTTACTCAAGGGCACACTAGTGGTGGTGTTCCTGGCGGGATTTGAACTCACAGCCTTCCGATCTTCAGCCCACCTCACTATCCATTAGATTAGACCAATCACTACCCTCTCAAATGGAAATATGTGTTTACATAAATGGTGACAACACCGTTTGAGACCCACTGAGAACTTAGACTAAGTTAACTATCTAAACACTCAGAGAGTCCTTTACCTCACCTGAGCTGAGGTTATCCCGAGCTTGAATGACACACAGAGACCAATCAAGGGCTTTAATTTATGATCTGTATGACAGTGGCCATGTCGGCAGGCCACATCATGTGGACAGCCAGTCACCCTGTGTGAGGCAGGCCACTTAACAGGCCAGAAGGAGGCGAGATCAGAGCAAGGGAGCGAGGGATCATTGTCTACAAGTTAATCGATCGCAGATGGCGTCGTGGTCACGGACGAATAAAAAAAATAACTAAATGGGTCGCGAAATATACTTGGGCGGCCGTTAATATACCTGGGCGGCCCGCCCAGGTATAGTCTATGTGTGGGAAACCCTGTGTCTCAAACCTGAATAATTCTAATAAATACCATACTCTCTTGTAAAGTAACTATACATTTATCTTCATTTGTTTTCCAGGCTTGCGGTGTGTCTTCTCTTCACGCAACGACTTACTAAAGCATGCAAGTGGTGGCAACTGTTCCTACTGCTTGAAGAGTGTTCCAGCCACTAAGACGCATTTGATAGAAAAACATTATCTAAATGCAGTCCATTTGACTGATAATGGCACTGGTACGTTTTATTTACATCAAAATCAAAGTACGATGATACTTTGTTCATTACAATGGGTCAACTTAGTTGAGCATATTCTAAAGAAAGCTAGCTGATAAAAGTGTTGAGTTATTTAAGTTAGTAAGTACCTGTAGTAAGTTCAATATATTTTCTCTTCTCAGAAAAATGTGTGATCCCATGTACGTGCAAAGATTTTAGCCAAGGCAGAAGTCACTGGCACTGCCCATGTTGCACGAGGATCATTAGCCGGAGAACCAACTTTCAGGTGCACATCTCTAAACAACCTGGTATGTATCAGTCCTTAAAATTCTCATGACCATGTTTTAAGTTTTGCTTTAAATAACTGCTGTGCCAACAATAATAATGACTAAGCCTCTTAGTGACTATAATACCTCTCTACGTTTCAGGGTATGCAATACTGCAGAAAAGCCAAGATGCAGGTTAGTTTGCAATATGTCTGATGCCCCTCAGTTGTTCTTAAATAATGAATTACTACCCATCTCCATTTCTGAACAATGCTGTAAACATGGTTATGTTGCTAGTTGTTATATTCCATGCACCAAATAAAAAAAATAGCACCTGCATAGCTATGAATTCATATTTGTCAAAATAAGACCTTAGAGTGTTAATGTTTTCATTCACTGAGCATCAGAAATAAATCGTTTGATGGTGTATTGACTGCAAGAATTATGCAGTCTATCAATGTTATTAAATGCATATATCTGTCTTTCCTCATAAGTCATAGATAGGCCCAATGTCTCTGCCTTTGAGGAGGTCCCCCTGATTCTTGGATCTTGTAGTGAAAAGGACCAACAAGGTAGAAGAGCTTTGCATGCATATCTTCACGTTCACTGCATGTACAGACTTGTGATAGAAACAACTGAATGTGTTTGTTCTCTATTCCCAGTGAGTCATCCCGAGTGCCAGGACTCAGTGCAGATCGAAGTGAAGCAAATGCAACAAAGTAACAGTATATTGAGCTTTGTGGCAGATCATGCCTCTTTAATTGTTTGTTCTAACAGTTATACTCAAGATCTCAGCAAAACATTGAACACTGTGGAAAGTGGCAAAGCAAAACCCCTTCCTAATTCTTCAAATCAACCTCTGGAGACGCAGCCTGATGGTGGGGATGGTGGAATATTGCAGCCAGCTGGGGAATCTCAGCACCACAAACTTTGTTCTAGTGTAAAGTCATCCAAGAGGAATATGCAAGTGAAAAGACATTTTAGTTTAAAGATTAATAAGTCAACCAAACTATCTGTCAGTCAAAATCCCAAAGGTCCTCATATATGTAAAGCATGTGGAAAGCCTTTCCATTACATGTACAAGCTAAACACACACACACAAACACACGCACTGGATAAAACCAAGATTTGTGGAATCTGTGGAAAACATTTGGAGTCTAAAGAGAGTTTCGTCAAGCACCTTCACAGCCACACAAAGAGAAACAAAAGTGGTGTATGTGGGGCAAAAGGCATCGCAGATTTCACAGACCAAGGGGTCTAAATATCAAGTCTCCAACCAACAAACAAAAACTTCTGTGATCCTTGTTTTAGATAAGTGTACTTATGGGAAAACTAATTGAGTTCTAGTGCTGTCCAAAATATCTCTAGCCAGATTTTCATGAAAGACTTATTGCAATTTTGGTTATGGGAAATGAATGAAAGAGTCTACAGCAAAGTTTGGTTAAAACGTCAATGGCAATGCTGGTCATGTGGGGGCTTCACATTTCTGTTTAATGGACTGTCCTCCCAACCAATCAGTGAGTGTATGAGCTGGCCGTAGTGTTTTACTGATGAGTGCAGTTGGTTGACTGCTGTGTTTTGATCCCAACTTGCAAGTTTTGTCATATCTGTCCCATAAAGTGGTGAGTGTGTCCATGGCAGAAAGGAAGGGAGCGGGGGAAAGACTTGAGTTCCAGTGCTGTGCAAAAACTCAAATGTGTTTTGTATATAATTGTTTTCCCATACAGTTTTGTAGACCTGAATAAAAAATATTCAAACTCAAATCTATTCCTTGTGCATTTTTTTCTCCAAATTCCTCAGTTCGAAAGTTAGAGGCTATTTGGTGCCAACAAAACATCTAAACGTTAAGAATTATTGTGGAAGTATGAGAGAGTTGAAAAGTGTTTCTGTTGAGTTTGTTCTTCTCAAGCCAGATTTTCATGGAATCCCCAAGGCTATTATTGCCATTTGTGTTATAAGGACGAGACTACAGCAGAGTTTGATTAAAATGTCAAAGGCAATGCTGGTCATGTATGGGCTTAACACTACTGTTGAATGGACTGTCCTCCCAGCCAATCAGTGAGTTTATGAGTGTTTTACTGAGGAGTGCAGTTGGTTGACTGCTGTGTTTTGATCCCAATTTGCCAGTTTTGTCATATCTGTCCCATGATGTGGTGATTGTGTCCACGGCAGGAAGGAAGAGGGGGGGGGGAGCCGCACGGTTTGGCTCCGGAGAGTCTCCTTTATTCAGTTTCTCCCGGTTTAATGTACAGTAACTCCCCGGGAGAGTCACTGCCTCCCTTTGGATTTACTCTGAGGAATATGGCTGTGTTGAAGATACAAGACCAGGTAACGTCATATAACTAGCTCACATGTAACGTTAATTACTAGCTGGTCACTTTTTGTAAACAGATTACTACTTGTGTGAGTGTGTAAGTGTAGTCAACACCATGTCGTAATGACTGTTCATTTGAGTTTAACTTTATTAACATTAATCAACGACGTGTATTCATGGTGACTTAGACAAGTTGTATACATGGTATTTTAAATATATAGGTTTAACGGCTAATGTTGCTAACGTTCTTTAAGTTGCTAACTCCACTGACATATTAGCTTAATAGCTAACGGTAACCACTTACATACAACAAGTTAACGTAAGAACTTGGCTAATGTCGTGTAACATGTTACCTTACGTTTATTTATTACGGTTTAAACTACTACTATTGTTAGAAATCAAGGATAACGCGGTCGTTTTTCAGTTTTCCCCGGTGCTTTTGACTGTTGCTTATTGTTGCTGTTTCTAGTGATGGACTAACACAGCTGGGTAGCTACCAGTTTATCAGGGTGGCTAACTCCCTTGCTAATGCTAGTTAGCAACTTGTGTTATGGCAACCCGTAGGCAGATGTGGGAGAAGTACTCAGATATTGTACTTAGGAACTTAAGTACCAGAGTGTAGGAATACTCTGTTGCAAGTGCAAGTCCTGTAATCACAATGTTACTCAAGGAATAGCACAAAGTATGTGCATTAAAATATACTTAAAGTACAAGTACTCATTATGCAAACTGGCCCATTTATGTGATTATACTTATTGATGCATTCATGTGTTAATCAAAGCTTGTTAAAGTGCAGCTAATTTGCGTAAAGTGTCTCTACTGTAGGCTATTTTTATTTTATGTACATCACTTTGGCTCGACCAAAAATCGTTTATAAATGTGCTATATAAATAAAACTTGATTTGATTTGATTATGTTGTATGCTAGATTGAGAATGTACTTCCATGTGCAACTTTAAGTCTTATTTAAGGGTTGTTTATATTTCACATTATTAATCCAAATTTGCAAAGTTAGGTATTAAATAAATGTAGTGGGGTAAAAGTACACTATTCACCTCGGAATGGTAATCGTGTACAAGCAAACACTTTTAATTCTCAAGTAAAGTACAAGTCCCTCAAAAGAGTACTTAAGTACAATACTTGAGTAAATACTTGTTACTTTACACCACTGGAAACCTATTATCAGCATTTAGATTGAATAGTACCGATTTAACTGTCTGATTTCCAGGGAGTTTGCTTTGTCAGCTGTCTGTTTCAGCTCCTTGCACATGTTGTCAGGGGCAGCTGTTGGCAGTCACCTGTTGCTGGAGATAAGAAAGGCTGTCAGACTGAAATAGCAGGTGGTGCTGGTTTCAACGTCTCCAGCTGCGGTCATGAATTAGACACTTTCCACAAGCTTAAATCAGTTGTTATAAACACCGCTGGGACATTAAAGCAGCTATACACAATACATGGCAGTGGGCATATGAACCAGTAGCGAAATAAACATTTTGTTTTGTCACACAAGTCAATTTATGGTCAACTAACATGCTTACTACTTACAAGTACATATTTACTCTTGTAAGCTGTGACAGGCATTTGTCATTATTTATTAAATTGTACACTATTTTATTACGTTTTAAAGAAAATTATCCATCAATAAATATATAATAACAATTAGATAATAAAACATGGAAACAACTTTAAGCTTTTAGTCGAAGTTCATAGTCAAACCAGTGCTTCGGTTGGAGACCCTGTTATTTGTTTGTTTGTTATTGGCCTGAATGTTTAGCTTACAGTAAAACATTGTTTTATAAATCTGGGAAGTAAGAGTTTGTTGAAAATATGAACTTCAGTCAAAATGTGTCAACGATGGTGCAGCTCTGTCCTGGTCTGACCAATCTTCCGGACATGCAAGCAAAAGACGGAAGAGTATGTGATGAGATCACCCTCTCTATTCTCCATTGTTCTCTGTAGTGCTTGCTGACAGAGAACTAGGCTAAAGGACACATGTAGTCCCACTTGGAGGGACAGGAGCGAGGGTAACCTTTAGCAAAGGCTTGTGTTTGTCCTCTAGAGGGCGTCCTGTAGCTTTGGAACATGCACAGTATCAAGCTATGGTCCTGTCTGAGAGAGAGATGGTAGAGACTAGATATAAAACAACAACCATTGATGTGACATGTGACATCCTGGGATAGAATCATATGAAAGCCATCTTTAAAAAGAATAGTTTTGAATATACTTTTATTGTAACCAATGGGAAAACAGTCTTTTTTTTCTTTTTTTTACCTGTACTGTTTTGTATTCAAATATTAAGCGTCAGAAAACTTTGCCTGTCTTCAATGAATCAAAAAACAAATGACTTACTATTTAAGATCTGTCTTTGGTATTTTGAATTGCTAATATACTACATTAAGCAATATCCTTTATCTTTAGATTCCATATAGTAGTATAGTAATAAAGTAATAGAAAATAAACTATAAATAAAATATTTAAGAGAGACATGAATTGTTTTTTCACAGTCTGACATGAATATCTCTTTTGTGTCAGTCTATTATGGTGCATTCAAATTGAGTTATATCATTTCAGAACCACATAATGTGACTGACTCATCAACCGTTGGCCGTTCAGTCGGAGCATTTAATGAAGAGCATGCGGTGGTGTGCATACCATACAAGTTTGGTCAGGACAACAAAGCTTTAGTACCCCTTTAGTACCCCTCTCTTGATTTTAAAAGCTTTTAAATCTCTAGATTTTCACATCGGCACTCCTGCAGTCTTTGGCTAGTATGTACACACACACACACACACACACACGCATGCACACACACGTATATGCTGGCCTTTGTGTTTGGGGACTGGGATTATATTACACACAGTGCATCCTGGCTTAGGGACAGATCAGAGGTCAGTGAATGCTACATACTCTCTTGCGTACACATGCACATTGTCACGTTGGGTATCTCTCTCACATGACGTAAACCTCAGTGGTTGCATTTTCATTGTATTTGTGGTTATGTGTGATAATAATGCATTCTCTTGTTGCGGTGAGATCAGGTTCACCTTGTGTGTGTTTTCCCACTGTCTCCCTGCTGTAGGAGCACCAGCTCAGCATTAATGCAACACAAATGTGAGCTCTGCCCGCTTCTAAAATATCACACAATGGATTTTTTACTTCTTGTTGCCATGCTGTCAAGCAGTTTCTGTTTAGGGATGCTCAGTTTGTCTTGATCACTTTGTACTTCATTTAAGCGTTTACATCCTGTCCTGTTCCACATGTTAGCCTTGCTTGATCCTGCTCTTCAGTCATGATTACAACTTTAAACACACATAAATACACACACATCTCACACAAGTTGCTCATTTCTGTTTAGGAAATTATAACCAACTGCTCTATAAACATCTGCGGGCTACGTTCCTGCAACTATCCCCAGTGCAGGATAGACAAAACATTGGTTGTTTGTTTATGTCACATGTGTCAAACTCAAGGCCCGGGGGCCAAATCAGGCCCGTGGTGGATTTAATTTCGGCCCGCAGGATCATTTTTAATTACTATTAGATCTGGCCCGCCGGTATATTGCACGCACACCTTCACTCCATCCTGAGGGTCTCCTCCGCTCAGAGCCTGAGCCCAAACATTGATGAACTTGCACCCAAGATGAGATGCCAAGTATCTGCTTGAACTAGCTTCACAGAGCAGCAAACTGAGTTTACATGTTTCCTTCTGCACTTTTTCTCTCACGACAACAGGGCATGTTTGGTTTTTTCTTTGAGGGAAATAGTTTTGTTGAAGCTGTTGTTGGCCTGTGGAAAAATGTACTCATAAGAAATGACTCAGGAAAAGCTGCAGATAGAGCCATAAGAAATGAATGCAACTGATTATTTAATGTTTAATGTTGTTTGTATAGGCAATCATTTAAGCTTTGTTAGTTCCAGGTTTAATCTGTGCAATAAGTTCATTTCAATACGTTTTGCAATAAACATTGAACCAGTCCGGCCCTCGACTAGTGCCCACTTTTTTATTTTGGCCCACTGTGTATTTGAGTTTGACCCCCCTGGTTTATGTACTTCCCCAAACACCTTTTCTTTGTGCCTTTGAGGCAGATCTGTAATGTCAACTCAGTGGCTGCTGTAGGAGCAGAACGATTGTAAGACTGTGTTTCCCATTATGTTTATATGGTAAGCCCATTAGACTCAGAATTTCGCCCTGCTCCATCCCACTGAATGGCTCCCTCTCATTCGCCCTTGGTTGCACTGTCCCTCCCTCCACATTTAATGGGGTTGTGTGGCTTGGCAAGATTGCTCTTTTTAGGATCTGAGTTGAATATGAAGGAGACTGAAACATGCACGTACAGACTGGTCTTGTTAGCTACCCTCACATATTTTGGCAAAGCCAGTTTGTTCCAGATTTATAATGAGGGGAGATGGGGACTTTTGATGCCATGCCACCAAAGAAGACACTAGAACACACATCTT